GTAGCGCAGGCAGGTCATGGAAAAGCGCAAGCGCGCTGAAGCCGGCCATAGCGTGCGAAGTCAACGCACTCGACCGGTCAGGGCGCACCACTCTCCATCTGACGTGTGCGGCTCCGGACGGCATCGAGTACGTCAGGGCGTTGCTGAGGCATCCCTTCGTCAATGTAAACCTGGCAGACGTCGAAGGTCATTGGACGGCCCTTCATCGCGCCCTTTACCACGGAAACCTGGCTGCTGCGTCAGTGGTTGCTTCCATCCTACACACCAAAATTGACGTTGTGATCACAGCCTTTTGCTGCTTGCCCGGCCCGATATCGACACTTCGTTGAAGGATCTCGACGGCTACACGGCGTTTGATCTGTACAACTCTACAGTGCACGATACCGCCCCTTCTCATGGGCTACATGCCGAACTTTATACCTGGGGCGTCAACAGGTAGCTGGGTTGCCCACCTGTCGGTTTCTCGCTGAAGTGTCCCCAGGAATGCTGCGTTAGGAATGGCGGATAGCGGCGATAGAACATATCCAGACCAGGTGCTCATCCCGAAAGAGGATCCCGATCCGAAGTCGACTACCCGATTCTCTGCCTTGCTTGCTCGCCAAATTCAGATGTCCAAACTTCACACAGGCAGGTGCCGATCTTCAGAGTCACCACTTTATGTATAAATTTTGTCCCGTGTAGTTGTTGTGACATCAGAGAGCAAAACGAATCTGCGTGTCTGCGGATTCGGCAGCGGAGGGCGGTAAGAAGGGCCCCCTTCATGCGAAACAATAGCTGATATGGCTGCAGTTTGGGTCCAGGGCAGCACACACAATACACCCTTGCCCCACTCCCTCAATTTTCCCATTCAATCGTCTCCGTTGCGCTGGGGCAGGACCACACCTTGGCACTGACGAGCGCAGGCGAAGTCTTGAGCTGGGGCTTGTCGCGATTCCACCAATTGGGCTATGTCGTCGAGCCTTCGACCACGAGCGGACGGCTTGAGGAGCCCGTCCAGGTTTTTCCTCGGAAAGTCTTCGGTCCCCTCAAGAAAGAGGTGGTGAAAGGCGTGGCTGCATCCAAGCAATCATCTGCCTGCTGGACGGCGACAGAGATATTCACCTGGGGGACCAACAATGGACAACTTGGTGTGCCGCCTTGGTCCTTACATTCATCAATAATTCTTACATTCTTCAGGCTATGACAAGGCTGCCCAGCCTGTTCAAGTCATCCCGAGGAAAGTTGCCAAGGTTGCTCGGCCTGTCGTTGCGATTTCCCTTACTGTACGTATCGTTCCTGTTCGGCCATGCGTTGTCTCTCACATCAGAGCCAGGACCACGCCATGGCCTGCCTCCTCGACACGCAAGACGTCGTTTGCATCTGGAACGACCGGTACATAAAGATTATGTATGTTTTTGTGCAGTTACTATTCTGTTCGCGACTCAACGTGTCCAGTTTCCCCACTAATGCTTTCCCGTCTGAGATCCAGCCTTACCGTCCACCACAGGCCATCAAGGACGCTCATATCGCTAAGATCACCAGCTGCGACGACACTTTTGCTGCGTTGTCCTCGAACGGCGAATTGTTCACCTTCTCTGTGCCGTATCCTAGCGAAGCAGATGGGAACTCTGGGCGGGGATCTGGTTTCAAACCCCAGCGTGTTTGGGCTCTTCGGAAACAATTTAGCGCCGTTCGGGACGTCGCTCTCGGCGCTGACGGCAGCATTATCATCTGTACCGAGTCCGGGCACGTATTTGTTCGCTCTCGCAGCACCAAGGTGGGTCAGGGGAACAACACGGCGTCCAACAAGACGTTCAAGTTCCAGCGCGTACCTTACATCCAACGCGTCACGCAGGTGTGTGCCAACAGCACTGGTGCCTTTGGCGCACTGCGGGTGGACTTCAAACCGGAGCCCATCCGTGTGGAGGGAAACACAATGGCTGAAGATCTAGCAACTATTCGACCGTACCTCGTACCATCGCCTTACCCTCGAAAGATGGCTTGAACGACGTCGAGGACTCCCCTCAATGGGCTTACGTGGGCGACGAGGGCGATGACGTGGACGACACTGGGATCGAGGCCGATTTCGCAAGCGTTTTGCGTTTATGCCAGGTGCTCAAGCATGCTAGCGTCGCCGCCAAACATGGAGCAGACGTCATGGTGCATGTACGCACTAATACTGTATTCCCTGCCCACAAGGTTATCCTCGCTGCACGCTCTCGAGCTTTATGTGAGGCCCTGGCAGGTACTTCGCTTATCAATGACGTTCAGTCGGGCATTGCAATCAAGTGCAAATCCGGCGGGGCCGCAGAAACACGCATGGATGTGAAGGTTGTCAAGCCATCACCTTCCTTATCCTACTAGAGTACCTGTACAACGATCAGTTGTTGGCGATCTGGGACCGTCGACTTACCTCGGCGTTGCAGCAGGAGTTCACCACGCGGCACATCAAGCCGGCTGAGGTGAAACTCGAGCTGCAGGCACTCGCACGTATTCTGGACCTTCCCCTGCTTGCACAGGCTCTCCAATCGCCAGCCAAACGCGTCCCTGTACCGTCTGTAGTCCGCGATATTGAGCAACTGTTTTGCGCGGTGCAGACAGGGTCGAAACCAGGTTGGACCAGGTCCCCCATAGCTCCGGATGTCATCCTCCACTTGGCGGACAAGGATGTGTACTGTCACTCAACAGTCCTACGGGCTCGTTGCCCCGTCTTTTCCAGTTTCTTCTGTGAGGATGATTGGACGTCAAAGCGGTGGGACAAGGGTGTGATCAGTGTCAATCTCAAGCATTTGCATTGGCACAACATGGAATATGTTCTCAAATACATGTGCTGTGGTGGAGACGCGGAGATATTTGATAACCTTGGTACGTGACATTTTCGCTTGCCCTGCAATGGATTTATAATACAGTGACTAGAATTTGCTTCGTCAGTGGACCAGATCTTGGAATTCATGTTCGATGTTCTGGCCATTGCTGTAGGCGAACTCTGTTGCTCCGACAATCGTGTGTTGAAATACTTTCCAGGATGAGCTGCTGCTTGATCGCCTGATTATGCTCTGTTCTGCCGTTATCCTGAGATGGACGGACATCAACAACGTGTGCTACATACTTACGGACGCGTCGCATTTCCACGCGCTGCAACTGGTTGAGAGCATTCAAGGATACATGACCGCGAACATGGAGACTTTGCTTGAGAGCCGTATGCTCGATGATCTGACACCCGCATTGATCAAACAGCTCTCCACCTTCGTTTCCAAGAGGCAGGCCGAGAAGAGTCCGAAATCCAGGTCGAACTTCCTCGTGGAAAAGGCCATGGCCATCCATGGCGACTGGCTTGCTTTACAGGATTTCCCAGAGCCGATCATCCCTTCCGCTCGGTTCCCTGCCCGTAGGGAATCAGCGCAGCTCTCGCCTGACCCTTCGAAGCAAACCTTTCGCAGACGGTCCACCACTGCGTCATTGCCGAACAGCCCCGTTATTACGGCGCAAGCATCGTCTGCGCCGACTGATGATATCTTCGAAATGGACGACGCCGACTCGATTCCGCCACCAGCAACACCCTTGCCTGCGCCAGCCATGTCTACACCTGTTTGGAAAGCGTCGTCGGCCCCTCGGTTTGTTGCTTATAATCTCTCGTGTTTTCTCATTGACGATTGGAGCAGCGTTGACATGAAGGCGGTAATGGCAGAAGCTGCAGGCTCCACAGCTCCTCGCCGTGACACCCGCGGCGGAGGAGAACCGACAAATTCTGCGTTACGATCCATCCCCCAGAAAACGCCGCAACGAGAACGTCGAAAGCTCCAAGGGTCTGCTGAGGGTGCAGATAGCTCTGTTGTTCCTGGATCATTGCGTGCAAGCAGCTCCCCTTGGAAGCTTCCGCCAACTCGGCCCACGGGCGCTTCTCCTACCAACTCGCCTCCTATCACTCCGTCAACTAATTTAGGCCGTACACAAGACGCGTTCCCTACTCCACCAGCAGCCGTACCGTTGACTCCTCCTCGTCAGCGAGGACCACAACCTACATCTGGTCAACAACCTATGCTTGGTCCTGTTTTCACCCCGTCACGGCAGCCTGCCTCCCGCCCTGCGCCATCCAGCATCCGACGCGTGTCGTACGTATCTGTTTTGTTCGATGTAACTTTACTGATGGCATAAACAGAAGCGGCAACAAAGCTTGGACTCAGCCACCCCCAGCACCTGTCACAGCGCCCTCTGCCCCCGCCTCCGGAGTGTCGTTTGTAGCTATCCAGCAATTGCAGCTGGAGCAGGGCTCATCCTCCTGCCGTGACAAACGTTCCTTGCGAGAGATTCAAGAAGAGGAGAAGGCACGTCAAGAGGAGGCGGACTTTTTGAAGTGGTGGGCTGCCGAAGAACAGCGGGTCAGGCTGGAGGCTGAGGCTCTGTCCCGTCCCCGCGATGTACCAAAGTCACCTAGAAGAAGCAAGAAATCGAAGAACGCAGGGCCTGCACCACCCGGCCCTATGTTTTCTACTTCGCAAGCCATCTAGCATTATTACTTATGCAGTCGGTTCCGACATTCTGTTGTATGCGTATGAGTTTATGTATCAGAACATCCATGATTTAGGGATACTCTGCTGTGCTATTGATCGACTGTCATCGATACCAAAGAATCGCTACTGGTTCGAGTCTAAGGATTGAGGTTCGGTAACTCTGTATGGGATGCAGGAAGGCGCTGTTAAGGAAAAGAAGTATCTTGGAATTGGGCACCTTCCTTGAATATTGAGGCTCCACTAGCTAGTAATATGACATTACATTTGAACTTGAACTGTCTTCAGAAAAGCATGTGGAAAGCTGCACTGGCAGAGGGTGGAACGATTCTACGTTCCACGACAACAATATCTCGGAGCACAATTAGAACTTACTCGATTATATATTGAAGCCACACAACACACGCCTAGCAAAACGAACAATGAGCATCAACCCAAACAGAGGCGGAAATTTTAGATCCGAGCGAAAGAGAAGTTGCGCCTTGAAAAAATATGTGCAATATGCAAAATGTTCGACACTGGCATGATTCGAACATGCGCCCAGAAACTGGAACAGATAAGTCGTGATCAGGCGATGACCCTATTCGAATCTGTCGCGTTAACCACTCCGCCACAGTGCCCTGAAGATCTCTCTTACTCCTACCATTACAACTGTACCAACCATTGCCATGGGTCATCACCTCAATCTAGCTCAATCTGTGAAGTCCAAACGAGTGCTTCCATGAGTTTTCGTCCATAAGAACACTTGCTCCGAGTCCCGTACAGTACTTAGATACCCGGAAATCTCGAAGCAGCCCTCTGATAGGCACTGGGCGTTTTCGAATTGTGCTTGAGCTTGATTGCCCTCTGCAAGGTCCTCAAGTGGGACGTACGACTTGGGGGCAGCAGCTAGCTCAAGTGCTCTGTATTCAAGCTGAAGCGAACACAACTAGGTTCAGACGTCTACCATTGATGTCTCATTCATCAGTGCTCTTGCAGTCAGATCCCTCACCAGTTTATCCCGGGAGACTCCAAACATGCCTTGGCGGTATCGATGCAGCCGCCGTGGAGCGACAACGTGGATGCCTGACGAGGACGTGCTCTCACAAAATCAGACTCGGATGCCCTGTCCAGCACCGGCGGTTTAGAACATTCCAACCACGTTATTGAGATGCTCACCATTCGGTCAAGAGGTCTGTCCGTTGCCAATGAGTGCTGTGATACGAGTATCGAAGCCTTCGCTCCGGATCGGCATCTCAGGCGTGTGGAACGGATTCTTCATGACGGCGTCAGAGTAGATTTCGTAGACCTTCTGCAACACATTGTCGGGGTTCGGCTCGGCCAGAGATGTCAACAGTACGAATTTCGTGGCTAGAAAAGACATGAGCCTAGGTCAATAGAGGGCGTTTGCAGACGAACCGGTGGCAGTAAGTAGAATTGTCATCTTGAACGACTCGCCTTCGATCACTTGAGCGCCCGAGCTGGAGCCCATGGGCGACAGTCGACTTGTAATGGCATGGATACCATGTAGTGTCCCAGCGAGCACCAAATACTCGTTCGATGTGAGCTGCGCGAGTCCCTCTGCGTCGATCTGAGCAAAACACCCGAATCGCATCTCGTTGAACGAACCTGCGAAGTTCCTTTGGTAAACCAGCCCCCCTGCTTTGTTTATCACCTATAATTCTTCAGCAGCCCCATCGCAGTGAGAAGAGTAAGATGTACCCAAAGACCGAAAATGGCCATGATGGTTAATGGCAAAGTTTTCTCACCCTAACTTACGCCTGCTTCAAGTTGTCATTCGTCTGTTATAGGCCGGGCGCAGCTATTGGAGACGACTGTCGACAATGCCATGGAAATCCATGTTTGAAATTCCACTACCCCGCGCTTTGGTGCTCTTGCTGCTCGTATTTCCGCCACCGACCTTCCAGCGTTCGACGCTTGGCGAACGGGAACTCCCTCCCCTCTCTGCTGCCGCCATCTCAACCTTGGTGTCCTCACCAGACCCGCTGAAGCAGCTAGACCCGAAGGATCCATCGTCGCATCTCTCTAAAATACTGATACCCCGTGTCTGTATGTCGAAACTAAAACTATCGGCTTTGTCGCACTCATGGTCTTCAGCTGATACCGAAAACAACACCATTGTCCGGAACTATATAGTTTCGAAGTTGGAGGCCCTCAAATGGCACGTCGAAGAAGACGCTTTCAATGACAGCACCCCGTTTGGTACAAAGCAATTCACGAATATCATTGCTACGAAAGATCCCAAGGCTGCGCAACGCGTCGTATTGGCGGCCCACTTTGACAGCAAATATTTCCCGGCCCCCAACAATGTGCGTTTAGCTTTGCCACATCACCCCGTGCGTCTCACGAGTGCTGACTTAGTTTGTCGGCGCGACGGACTCGGCTGCCCCATGTGCTATGATGCTGGACCTTGCAGAGGCGCTGGATCCGCTTCTGGACGAGCGTGCGAAGCGCTTAGATGCGGGCATGGAGGATGACGAAGACGTTTCGGACACGACACTTCAGCTAGTATTTTTCGATGGAGAGGAGGCATTTGTTGCATGGACTGACAGAGATTCCATATACGGTGCAAGGTGAACGGACACGAGATCTACGCTCATATGCGCTGACCAGCTCTTAGACACCTCGCAGATAAATGGGCAACAACTTACGCTCTTCCCAACAGCAAACGACGGCTGATGGGCCCGCAAACAACCGAGATATCCGGGATCGAACACTTCATACTTCTCGATCTCTTGGGCTCGGAGCACCCGCTGATTCGCTCGTACACGCTCAGTACAGCATGGCTGTTTGATGCCCTGGTCTCGGCGGAAAAAAGGCTTGGGGACAGCGGCGCGTTTACTTATGGGGAGGAGCAGGGCATGGCCCCTGGGAAATGGTCGTCTTTCTTTTATAAGCGGACAACGGTCGATATGAACATGGGCGGCATCGGGGACGATCACGTTCCATTTTTGGAGCACGGAGTCGATGTGTTGCACCTCATCACGTTGCCGTTTCCGTCGGTTTGGCATTCGGTTCATGTACGGGTTCGCACCCTTGTCCTCTTAATCCTCGCTGACGCTAGTTTAGGACGACGCGTCTGCGCTGCATATGCCAACTATGCGGCGGTGGAATATTCTCCTGCGCGTTTTCATGTCTGAATATCTACATCTTCGTCCTGATGTGAAGAAGCCGCGGTCAGAAGAGGAGAAGTCCAGTACTGCTTTAGAGAAATCAGACTCTGAACTTGTAAGGCCTTTTCATCTCGATCCAGTCCTTGGCTAACCATGATTCTGGGCTAGTAGGGCACATAGTGGAGGTCACCCGGTTCTTTTTCTTCGAGTGAATGTTTGTATCGTTAGCGATGTCCAAATGTCGTCATGAACGATGTCGGTCTGACCTAGTACCTAGATCCCGGTGCGGCTCTCTGTTCGAAGCCTATCTCAAACTGTCCAAAACTGGGCAAGAGGGCGACACATCGAGTCGGATTTTTAGAACTTATCAAGCCATTGCCAATCATGACGGCCGACAGGATACGCTCAGTGCCCCTGGCAGGTCCGATTTGTCATACAATTCAACATCTGCAACTACATCGTCTACGCGATTGTGCAGAAATTGGATTGCTGTATTCTTTTCATTAAATCCAGTACTGCGGCATCTTTGTGCTCTAATAATCCTACCAAGCTATCCTGCATCTTCTCGACAGAACTCGTTGGCCAACTGTGCTTGGCATGTCCCGTAAATGCAAAATCATTCAACCTCAAGATTTCTTGGATGTTATGCTTATACACAACGTAACACGAGAGAAGCCGTTACAACGTGGCCATGGTGGTTCTTTAAGCTACTAATGGGATGAAGAACAGCGGTTGTTGATACAGATGGTATGAGTGAGACTTGGTTACGTGAGAGAAAAGGAACAGCTAAACGAGGCGAAGTTAGTCTTACAGACAGAATGCGAGGTCAACTAAGCAGCAAGTTTTTATAATGTTTGATGAGGCGGGAGGCATCTGCAGCGTTCTACACAGGTTTTAAGGTTAGTGCTGGAGTGTTGTGTCAGGTATTAATGATTTCACCGTTTCATCCAGTTTACTTTGGTATAGCTGCGAATCTGCGCTTTGTACGCATTCGGCAAGCACGTCTGCCCGGGTGGTGGGATTCGACCGCACTGGGAAGGAGGTGATTGAAATGGAAAACAGCATCAATAACGAAGACACAAACGCATTTCGCTTGCGGCGTTGATAGCATGGGAGCGGCGAGGGAACAGATCTTCAATTCCAGTGGGATATATTGAGAGTAATGCTTGAACGGAGTCCTGCATCAAACGGAACATATGAAAATTGATTGACCATGGTGGAAAAATGGGCAACCTCTAAGCTGTGCCACAGCGGGACAACGTCCTTGCTATATTTGTCCGCAGACACCTCTTCCCTCTTCAACTCTGTAAGCTTGGCTTTCCCCTCTTCACTGGACTTTATTTTCTAGAATATACCGACCCGAGTAGGTGAATGCTACTCACAGGCAAGCCGTCCCGTCGCGGGCTAAGTCTTTCGCTGCTTTGCGTGCAGCCGCGTAGAGAGCCTTTTTCTGCGTTTGGAAAGCGGCAGAGCGGGCTGAAACCCTCTTTGATTCACGCTCTAAGCAGAATAAGAGAAGAGATGCATCGAGTTCTTGTGTGGGCTTACTCTTGTACTCGGCCAAAATTTGATTCAGCATGTCCGCGCTGCCAACACGATCAGATGGGGACTACCACCAAGTAGTCGGTAGACTCACCTATCGTCACCCCCGTCCATATCAAGGTCGTCGTTTTCTGTGTCATCCTTCTCAATCGCGTCGAATTCGTCGTCGTTCTTGAACGAGACAGGGGCGGAGGTCCGAGTCGGACGCGTTGACTGACGTTTGGTGGGATTTTCTGCTGAAATGCTCAACCATTAATGGATGGTGGTTATCCTGGGATGTACTTAGTGTTCTGGCCATGATGGAAGTAACAGTGCAAAGACGCGACGCGACGCGATGCTTGGATTGGCGTGTCTATGACGCGCACGGTACACAGAGCCAAACATCTCTTGTCCACTTAATTTCTGCAACCTTCAAGGGATGGACTGGTGAGCCATTGCGCTCGCTTTGATTCTGAATGCTGATGCTTTGAAAGCCTTGAACTCAATATACACCAACGGATTTTATCCGACATTGCCTCAAATGTGGCCGAAACGGAAGATGACCTTTTGTATGCTCGAGACATCATCACTTCAAAGGTGCAGACAAGGGCGGAGCCCGGCGAAGATGTGAACCTGGAATCTGTCAACGGGAACGCCAACACAGAGGTGGAAGGGGAGCAAAGAGTGTTTATGGTGCGTTCACGTAGCATTGAAGGTCAATTTAAATAATGACATTATGCAGTCTGCGTCCCGCGTACACTGCAACATCGCATTTGGAGAGCTTGTTGTGAACTTCCCTGAAGTTCATGTAGCAAATGCTATTGATACCCTTATGCCGGCTCTCATCGACGTACTCAGGGATGTGCCTTATATCGACTTTGATAAATGTCTATCTTGGGAAGGTGAAAGCGTTTTTTCCTCGTCCTGCTGCTTAACTCACATATCCCTTTCAGAATGGGCTCTTCCCGATCAGCTGGTTTTTTCTA